TGCGCAAGCAGTTATCAGGGTCTCCGTCCCTCGTTCGGACGCGTCGGTCTCCGTGATTACTCGCCGGACGGGATGATGTTGCGCTCGAGAAGGCCACTCGGAGTTACAAAAGCGATGAACGCCTGGCGCCCCTGGTCGATTGGCACGTTCCAGAACTCTAAGTACATAACTAGCGTGCGGTAGTTCCTCGGCTTGGCCGTCCGTCGCATGTGGTCCAGATGCGTGAAATGGGGTTTGGACGGGGTAGGAGTCAGCGACCGTGGCCGTGTTGAATCTGCGGCAGTCGACGGGCCTACCCCGGACACTAGGTCACCTGTCGGGTGTGCCTAGCAAGTTGGGCATGACCGCGGAGGTAACGTCTTTCTTGTTTTTGCCGATGCGCGTCTCCCTAGCTGCTTTTAAGAGTAGGGTGTCCATGTTCACGCACAAGGTCCACTGCGAAGATACCTGGTCCGTTAAGCGACCTCGCACGCGAGCGTGCGTTGTGTCTCAAAGATGATAATTTTCCCGGACTACGTTTGCTTAGCTGTAATCGGACACATTAGCATGGACAATCTCTCCGTTGACCGCCAACATGGTCTGTTCGCTGAAGGAACCAAAGATGTGTCGCTCCAGGAATTTTGGTGATCCCATGAACCCTACCCGCCTTCGACGGATGCCGTGAACTAGTAGGGCGGACACGTCGGAGGGCCGGTGTCCCACCGAGTCCTCTCTCCACCTCATGAACCACTGAGTCCAACTACGACAAAGCCACTGCGCCCAACCGAACGTTTCGAACCAGGATCCGCGTTCATGTTCCTGCCGTGATAGTCGTTCCAGCCATGATGATCTGCTCGTGGTAGTTAAGGTATTCGGTCGTGGTCGAACATGATTGGCATGACCCGTAAATTCCGCTATCCGAAACAATGCGGAATGCATTGTTTCGGATAGCGGAATTTACGGGTAATGCCAAAGTGGAATTTAAGCGGCACATAGATAACTGGAAGCCTCCGCCGTTGTCTGAGCAGTCAAACACTTCCATTCCTGGCTAATATGTGGAAAGGTCTTAATACGCAGGCACCATGAATAATGAACGGAGAAATGTGATTCCTACCTACCTAGCCTATTGGCG